TGTTCTCATGGCCACTGCGCTACAGTCATTGTTTAATATCACCCTGGCTGTACAACCTGAATGAAATACCTCGGGCTCGATGGAATTTCCAAACATTTCTCTTTGACCAGTCCTTCACTGGATGTGGCCTGCTGCAGCCTCAAGTCTTCACTCTGACTCGCCCATTTAGCTTACAAAAAGGAGGCTCTGCTCCCCAGAATCCATTCCTCGCAACCATCTTTATCTAGAGATCAGCCTCAGGTGCATGAATTCCAACGATGAGGTAGTGGTTGATGAAGAAACTAATTTTTAAATCCATTACATTGTCACCATATGCCAATATATTTGCATGTTCAGTTCATTTTAAATAAAGTAAATACTACTTTAACAATTACTAATTTGAGACTATGAAGCATATTATATAGAAGAATATCACTTTAGACTAGGAATATCATTGAAACATTCAAGAATTCCAAAATCTGGACTGTCTATAATAAACTATTACAATGCAGCATTGTAAATACAGTCTATGAAACAGCTATAGAAATGAAAGTTCTAAAATAGATCCCCTTCATTCTTTGAATTGTATCCAAGGCTGTGTAGCATCTGGTTATTGTAGAGTGTGTTTCCTCACACACGAACTCGTTTGATTAACTCCTTCAGCAGTGAAATACAAATATTGACTGGATACATTTCCAGAGGGTCAGAGTAAGCTGCTTTTATTCAATACCAGTTAGATTTTCTCAGTTTGCACAGCCCAAAAATAATAGAGAGCACTTAGGATAAATACAGTGTGGGACTGCAAGCAGGCTTGTGAGTGAGAGCACATCCATTCTCACTTGTGTAAAATGACTCAGCTTCTCTTCAGCAAAGCCTCGGTAAGACAGATAAATATTGAAATAGTTTGCTCTAAGTATAGCTTAACATTCAAAAATAACTCATTTAAAATCAAGCTTTCATTACAAATATCTCTTACTGGAATATTTAGTTTAATATAGTATATATGCAGGGGTAATTTGCTATGGAATTATTGTCCATTTCCAGATTTAACATACAAATGCACTCTGCTTGTAAAATTGAATGACCTACCCAGCCATCAACATGCATTTCTGATTCTAAGTGACCTAATTATTATTTAATAATTTAAATTAAACTAAGGGCAGTCTAAGACATGAACATCTTGTGTTTTGCTTATGTGTTTTATAAAATACATTTGATTATATTTTAGAACTCACTTGCTCAGTTTCTCTGTCCAGACCTGCACATTTGGAAGTCTGTTTATTTCAGATAAGATACTTTGGGAACATACTGAAGAGAAATGCTGTTTCATCTCTTACATGATCTGAAAAATCCAGATGTATTAGTGAGAATATGTGGCATTTCACACACTGTCCCTTAAAATGTCAGTTAATTCCTATATTACTATATCACTAATATATGATACTATTTTAAATAATCTTTTTTCAGTCATCATATAAGTAAAACTGGAGTTTCAATATTATAAGGAACAATAATTTCAGTATCTTAAATGTAATAAAAGGAGCATTCTATCATATTTATGAACACATATTTGTTGTACAGAAGGATGATTTTACAGCATTGGTCTCTATATTTGTTCCCTTATGCTGCTGGAAGAAACCTCTCTCATGAGGGCTCAGTAAGGCATTGATCTATGAGTATAGCAGAATGTCATTGGGAGTTATTTTATCACTATATATTTTAGAACAATATTATTTGATTTTGCCCTAGATCCCTGGGCTATCTAGTCTCAGGTTCTTTTTATTTTTATTATATTAATTAAATTTATTCATTTATTTTACATCCTGACTAATGTTTCCCTTCAATCTTCACTTCCCACACCCCCATCACCTGCCAATTCACACTTCCTCTGTTTCTGTTCACAAAGGGGAAGGTCTCCCAAGGGTGTCAACAAAGCATGGCATATCAAGTTGAGGTAGGACCTTGTATTAAGGCAATCCAGTATGAGGAATAGGTTAGTCTCAGGTTCTTGGTCATCTAAGCAGGGAGGTATGGGTTCCATCTCGTGGAGTACATCTTAGGTCAAATCTGTTATTGGTTAGTTATTCTCACAAGCTTTGTGCCACCACTGCCCTAGCGTATCTTGCATGTAGTACACAATTTTAGATAAAAGTCTTGTGGCTGGCTTGGTGTTTACGTTTCTCCTTTGGTAGCATGCAGGTACCTTCCTATACCAAAGGCCTGGAAAATAGGGGCAAAGGTTCTGTGTAGGCACCATCTTGATATCTCCTTGTTCAGTGAGTTGTATATGTATTGTCTCCAGCTTCAGCCCATTGCTGTCAATGTTTGGAGAGCAATCTTGACAATAGCCTGGGTTGTTTGGGATTTCTGTGGGAGCTCTTTGAACAGGCTCAATTAGATATAATCCAGTCCTCGTACTGGAGGCTTCATTTGGTGACAAGACATAGCCATTTGGGGTTCTGTTTCCTCGTTATTTTGTAATTTCATTTTGATTGCTTTCACATATGTATGTATTTTAGGAAACTTCTACTGTGTTAGCTTTCCATATTACCCCTTAAATGGCCCTTAGTTTTAGCTGTCTTTCCCTGTATCCCTTGCCTTATCCCCCTTCCCTCCAGTTCCATCCCCACTCCAATCCAGCATCATCCATCCATAACTATATTTTATTTCATTTTCCTTACTAGAGCCATCCTCCTAGTCCCTTACTCTATACTAACAGACAGAAGAGAGTATACTAAAAGACAGTATAAAGTATACTAACAGACAGTATAGAGTATACTAACAGTCAGTATAAAATATACTAACAGATACATATTGTTTCTACTTTATGCTTATTATGAATAAAGCATCAATGATCATGACTGAACAAGTGTCTCTGTGATAGAATGAAACAACCTTTAGGTATATATCCAGGAGTGGTATATGCCCAATAGCTGGATCTTGAGGTAAATTGATTCCCATCCTCCTGAGGAACCGCCACACTGATTTCCATAGTGTCTGTACAAGTTTGCCCTCCTGGACAGCTCCTGTGTTATTTATGATGGCGAGGTCAGAGACGGAGCCTGAGAGTCTGTATTCTACAGCACTGAATGGGTGCTGGTGGCCCTCTGCCACTGACCTCACTACTTCCTTAGAATCAGTAAAGTGTTCCCTGTTTCAGCATCCTCATGGGTGAGACGTACTGTGATATCATCCAGCAGTTCAGTGTTTCTTCATGGCAATGATAGCACTGGTTTTTATTTTCTTAATACCCCCTTCTCTCATTCAGTCCATAGTATCCAAGGCTAAACCATGGAGAATGATTTTATGTAAGGTGTGTTGTCTCATATTATGATCTAAGTAGGAAAAAAACAAACTCCGGTATCATTTACATTTTTTCCTTTCCTTAATCAAGGCAGATGTGTTACATTTCTTAACCAAAGCAGTATTTTGCTTTGTGGCTCCTCATTGCTCATCTCCCTTCCTATGTTCCTCTGTATGACGAGTAATTCTCTCATACAGATATTTCACTTTAAGTTTGACACTTGTAAATACATAAATTCTGTTTGTTAATAAAGGTGTATATCCCTGGCTTGTACTGGATGGAAAAATGTGTTCTGTTTTCAAACAGTTTACCAAACACCAATTTTACAGTTCAAATCCTAAATAGACCCATTTGTGTGCATATGTGGTGATACCACTCTACAGGGTAATGGTTCGTTATGCAAAAATCCTGTGATCATAGCTTACTAAACTGGCATAGTGGAGGGCTGTGGAGGAGATCGATCCAGGAAGATCGATCTGTGCTGCTGATATTTCTGTCCTAATGGTCTTTTTAATGTTCCAGATAACAATGTATGTTTGTCTCAGTCTTTGAAGATACTGATATGTTACTTCATGGGTTACATTTATTAAAACAATAAAATAATAAATAATAACATAACATAAAATAACATAGCAAAATAATAAACTATCTTCTCTTTGCAAACCTGTTGGGTTTTTGTTCTTACAGCATTCTACCAATGCTTTCTGGCATTTTCTGGTTATTGATGATAATTTTCTCTATTGTCTGTCAGGTATATCACTGTCATGTGCTGATGAATGTTAGGACTTTTCCATGCACTGTATTTAAATGTCATTTTTATTCCTGTCTTGTTTTGAAGAGTTTGCCTTTAGCATATATAAAACATTTTACACAATAAAGAAATTGAAAACATAAGTCTAAATTTAGTATTAAAAATAGCTAGCGAAAAACTTATAAAACTTCATTTCAATTGAAAAAAATATGTTTAATATGCAAGGTAAAAACATTACAGAAGCATTGTGGATAGACTCCTGCCCAGGGGGTAATAAGATAACACAATATGACCGGCACAATCAGACTGGACAGATGACAGAGGAAATTACCTCTTGATTTTAATTCTTAGATCATTGGTTTGCACCATTATTAACGGGATCCTGATGCCTATTTCGGAAAACCAAAGTTAGATTTAATTAATTATATTTAGAATTGTAATGGTTCTATTCTTCTTTAATACACTTTCTTTTCAAAACATAACCAGTTCATGTAGAAAATTTGCAAAAGTCAAGAAAATGGCATAAAATAATGGTGTTTCATTTCTGTTTTATCCTCATGTGTGCTATTATTTCTCAAATTATTGTCAGCTGTCCGCTATAGGCTTGGTAACATAAATCCTGAAATTTATTTCAAGTGGATAATTTAAATTTGGTTGTCCTATGACAATGATTCTGTATTTTAAATCTACATCTCATGTATTTTAAGAGAAAGCTCCAGATGTTTCTGGAGTGCTTCCAATTTGAAGAAATCGGGAACAAGTTAGTTTTAATTGGGTTACATGAGCATTTAACTCGAGTGCTATTACCTGGATGAAAATTTGCATGAGCAATGGCATCATAGCACTATATTTAAAATGTGGCTCTATCTTTTGAAGACTATATACTGAGCAAACATGAAAGTGAATATGAAAATGTCTGTTAGCATATTTTATAAAGTTGTTTATTATCTTTCTTTTCCTACATAGCCTGAAAAAAATGAGAGTGAGCCAGGCAGCCAACGAATTAAACCTGTTTTTATTGAAGATGCTAATTTTGGACGCCAGATATCCTACCAGCATGCAGCGGTCCATATTCCCACGGACATCTATGAGGGTTGTAAGTAAAAAGAATATGAGGAACCCTTATGCTGAGTGTGTCTTACATGTCTTAGAGAAACAAAGTAGGAGCAAGCGTGAAACTGTCTCAGTTACAACTGATATCAGAGTCCGTAGGAAGTCTTGAGCCACAGCTCACTACTAGATTGCTTGACTAGCAGGTAAGGCCTGCCCTGGGTTCAGTCTCTAGAAACATAAATATAACAGAACTGAACAGCCACAAAAAACAATAACAACAGCAAAATGTCACAGGTCGACTCTTACTTCTGCAAAGTGAAAAATGTGATTTCCATGTACATTTTCTATCAGGTAGCTTCTAGAACTCCCTACTGGAAAGTAGGGGTTGTTCTGATCTATTGTTGAGTAAAAAATTCTGATATCCTAATTAGTATAAATAACTTTTAAAGTATGTAGATTTGTTCTTTAGATATCAAAATAGTACAGCTACATATATGTACGCATAAGCACACCAGCTGGTTAAGGGAGAAGGTTGGGTGTTTTAGACTGCAATTTTAAACTGCCGTTTTTACCATTTCTTACTATGACAGCAGTGTGGCTTTCTTTTCTTTACCTTAGAACAGGTTAAAAGCACTTTTAATTTTCCAGTATCTCTTGGGCTCAAATGCAAATGAACTTTCCTTTTGGGAAAGGAAATGGACTAAGGAAGCTGCACACCGTTGCCTGGGACTCTCAGTTACGATGGCTTCACTGTAAGAAGGGAGGAGGGTGAGCATTTAGGAAGAAGCAGAGAAGCTGGTGTGTGTGCTGGGGCATTCCACACGTTAATGGGTGTGGATCTGAGGGGCCTAAGTAGGGCTTTTCTTAAGGAGTGCCTGATGATCTATGATCCAGGCAATTGGGTCTTGACTCAGTCAGAGCCTTGGGTTTCTGTGTTATTCATTCTCTGGCCCATTTCCAGAATCCCTTTCTATGCCTCATACCCTGATTCCTAACAAAAATTAAAAACAAGAGGAAAACTTATTGTGCATGTAAAAAATATCCTTCTTATATTCTTCCAAATTGGAGAAACTGTAGAATTTATCAAGTATCCAGAGTATACCTGAAATTATTTGAATTCAGGAGCCAGACTGCATGAGTTCAGATCTAAACTTTAGTAGTATCATTTTCTCAACTAAATCTTTCATGTTTCTCAGCAAACATTTTCATATATATAAAATGGAGTTAAAATTACAGACCCAAAGGCCATTTGAGGATAAAGTAACAATATTATTTAAGTTCTCTAAATAATAGCAAACTCAAGGTAAGCTTATGGCAGCATTTGCTATTATTAACTTCATCTTACATTTATTTATATGAAGAAATATGTGAAGAATCTTTGTAAAGTATATTTTTTGGTAGATGTGTTCTGAGATCATTTTATTAAGGAAATGTGGGATGCATGCATGCATCTTTGTATGATATAAACTTCATCTCTTGTTAACCTGGGTTTCCATTCATTCTGTCCATTTTTATTGCCTGTGGTGCCGGAGGTAGCACCCAGGCTCTCACACACACTGGGCAAGTGCGGTGCCACAGGCTCATATCCTCAGTCCTTCTCATTATTTTAAAGACACATGCTATTTTCAGTGTATTGTCCCTTTTAGAATTTAAATCATTTCATTTTCCTCACTTTAAGTGAGAAAAGAGTGTGTGTATAAAGCTTATTAATACAAGACAATTAAAATAACACCTTTCTTACCAAATTCACTCTGGTAGTTCCAAAGACTTTTACTTAGAACATTTTGTTATTTTTGAACCGCAATATTGATTGTTGCAATTACTTTTACAAGATTTTTGGGACTGAAGAGATGGCTCAGTAGTTAAGAGCACCTCCTGCAGAGGACCCAGGTTTGGTTCCCAGCACCCACTAATGCCCTCTTCTTATCTCCATAGACACCAGGCATGCCCATGGTACACAGGCATACATGCAATCAAATACTCCTGCTCATAAAGTAAAAATAAATCAGTGTTTCACAAAACTGGATTCAGTGAATGCTAATATCTTTGGTAATGCTCCTCATTTTTTAAAAACTCTTTCACTTTATATAGTTTCAATTTTCCTGTTATTAGTTGATGTGTCAGATGTCAACAAAATGACTTTGTGTCTGTCTTTGAATTTACAATGAAATACAAATAATCTGACAGTATATAAAATTGTGAGTCAAACTGTTTTGTTCTTTGTTCCATCAGTTTTCTGGGAGTCTCATGACACTGTTCCAGCTAGCATGACTGGTTTAAGAAACAGGATGCTACCTTGAGTATTGTTACCTTGTTAGAAACCTTATATAATTTTGTTGGCTTTGTTGTCTGGCATTTCATATTTTTCCCTGTTCCTGATATTGAGTAATTTATAAATGACAAAAAGATACCCTTAACCAGTGATTTTTTTTCACATAACAGCTATCTTCTGTGGCTTGTTTTCTTTAATATATGTGTTCTCATGAATGCTTGATGTGAAATAAAGAAAACAAAAGTTGTATGCCTAAATATAACTAGTGAAGGGCTGCCTGACTATCTCAGTTTGTTCCTCAGTAGGAGACCTAGCTGGCATTTGCTGTCAAAAGAGAGTCTTTCTATAAGTTCATAGATTAACATTTGATGATTTCAGAACCAAAATTGTCCACAAGAAGTGTGACACTTTACAAGAGAATTTTCACTTTCCCTTTCTATAGATTTACTTTATTACTTTTAATTATCTGTGTGTTTCTGCCTGTGTGTGCATGTACACATGAGTGATGGTGGCCACAGTAGTTTTAAGAGGTTGCCACATCCCCTAGAGCTGGAGTGATCGATTATGCAGCATGGGTGCTATGAAGCAAAGAAAGGTCCTCTAGAAGACCTCTTCTCTTACTCGTGCCTTTATTCATGTAGGGGGTGTGTGTGTGTGTGTGTGTGTGTGTGTGAGAGAGAGAGAGAGAGAGAGAGAGAGAGAGAGCGCCTCTGTGTGTGTCTGTGTGTATCTGTCTGTGTGTGTGTCTATGTGTGAATGTGTTTGTGCTGAGGCCAGGGGATATCTTGGGCATTATCCTCAGGAAAATCATCTACCTCCTTTGAGACAGGGTCTGTTACTGGTCTGCAGCTAACAAATTAGGTTAGAATGGCCCATGGGTGAGCACCAAGGACCCTCTGTGTCCACCTGCCTGGCACTGGAATCACATTCACCCACCACTATACTCAGTACTTTTGTGTGAGCTCAAGGAGCAAACCCTCATCTTCACTCTTAAGGCAAGCACTCTGATGAATGAGTCATTCTCTCAGCCCCTGGTTTCCTTACTCTTGTGTGGTGTCTCTGTCTGTCCCTCTGTGCATAGAGGCTGGAACCTGATGCTGGGTGTCCCCTCCAGTCACTCACTTTACTTTCTGAGACAGGGTCTCTCACGGACCTGGAGCTCATTAGTTCAGCTAGGCTGGCTATCCAGTGGGCTCTGAAGATTCATCGGTATCTACCCTCACACCCATTCCAGCCAGTGCTGGACTTTCAGACTTACTCGCTGCCTACCTACCTGGCCTCTTCATGTGTAATGAAGGCCCAAACTGAAGTCCCCATGCTTGGACCTTACGGCGGAAGCCATCTCCTCAGGCCTCCATTTTCTTATTCTTATGTTCTTGCTGTTTTTCAGTGAAATAGTATTCATAACCAAGTCTTAATATATTTTAATCCAGAACAGGTGTGAAAACTGATATAGAAAAGCATACATTTTTAAGAATATTAATTTTTTGCATACCACACAATATTTTTTAAAACTTACAAGAACTTTGAAGATATCAATGCTTTTGTTTCCAATTTAGAATAAATTACTTGAAAGCATCTGTAAAAATAATTTTAAAAGTCATAAAGAATAATATTATTAGCTTGAAAATCAATAAGATAAATACTTATGTTTTTAAAAATCACAGGGTAGTATTTGGTAGTATTTGGAATAGGGCTTACTTTTGAAAAAAAGAAAAGCTCAAAGTTTGGATCATTTGTTTTGCCTCATTTTTTCTCCATATTGCCTTCTCATTTGCTGATGTCTCATGAGCAATGCTAACCTCCTGTGGCCTGTACGCCTCTAAAATTTTCATCCAGCATTTGCGCTGCATGAGCAAATGACAGGAGTCAAATTAGAAATGTCAACAAGATCTGGAAAATTCTATAATTCCCAGTAGCCAGCAGTCAGTTCCTCAGAACGAGCCAGATTTAGAGGACTGCTGTAGGTTCCTGATTTAATGAATGTGAAAGTGCATTTTAATTGAAGGCTTAACACAAGGAACAGCCTCTCCTTGCGCTCAGAGGCATTTGTGTAGCTACATCTCAGAAGCAATCTCATGTTCAAATTTCCCAAAGGAAATTACATTTTAAAGTCCTTTGAATTGAAATGTTATTATTTTCAGTCAATTATATATTCAAATTTTCAGAACTATAGCTTTAATTAGAGCACCATCTAAATTTTTCTTGTTTGGAAATTTCATTGGTTGCTACATTTTGTTTTGCCCCTAAACCACTTAATTTTCAGATCTAATTTAGAACGTAAACGGAAACAAGCTCTGAATGTTGTGAACTAACTAGTTGTCCATCTGCTTGTTCGTTTGTTTCTTGATGTTTGCAGTGAGGGGTCAGGCTCATGCCAGGCAGGCTCTCCACCACTGAGATGCATCCCCAATGCTCCAGATTTTTTTGCACAAGAATTTTATTAATTTTTTTTAATCATTTTGGGCTCAAGTTTAGGGACTATCTTCTTAGACTATTCTATAGATTTATACTCATTTTAATAAAACGCATGGGTTTTGTTTATATAAACAAAGTTTGTAGAGACTGCATATAGTGTTCTGCCTGCATGCATGTGAGTGTACCACATACCTACCCAGTGCCTTTGGAGGCCAAAAGGCAGCACAGATCCTCTGAAACTGTAGTTACAAATGGTTATGAGACATCACTTGGGTGCTGGAACTGAACCCTGGTCCTCTGTAAGAGCTATAAATGCTGTTAACAACTGTGTCATCTCTCCAGGTTCATACAAT